AAAAAAGTCCCATTGCAGTGTGTATGCTGTCACTGTTTTGTCGCCAAAAGGCAGGTTTTGACGACAAAACTTTGTAGTGTAGATAAAGCCTTAGATAACTGTCTCCAAAAGGAGCTGGCTTTAGAGCGCACACCTCAACTTGGATGGCTTAGACGAGGAGCCTCCCATCAGGCTGGCTTTTGTGAATCCCATTCTGAGGCACCACTGTGTCCTCATGCGGGTGTATAGGTCGCCTAGCAGCTGAACTCAGGTTTTGTGGATAGGGATATTAAGAGGTGGGTAACTGACTCATCTTGTAGTCGATAACATTTGTATCGACTACGCAATTAGTCGATAGGGGAAGGTGCTCTGTCCTAGCTCACACTGGTACAGGAGCTACTCCTGCTGCCGCTCTGCAGTTTAAACCTAGTAGGAGCCATAACCAAGCTCCTACTACATTTAAGCTGCAGATCTGCAGCAGGGGTAGGTCCCCAACTGGCCCAATCCAGGACAGAGCCAGTACTGCTGCAGCGCTGCATTTTAAACCTTATTACATTTAAAATGCAGAGCCACATTGGTCCCAGACTGGTGAGACCAAGAAAAGAGAAATGAGGCTTAACAATAAAGGAGTGGTTGGATAAAGCAGGGAGGGCAGGGTTCAGACTCTGCTCCCTAGACTTCAATCGCCAGCTCTTTGCCTTGCAAGCTCTGCGGAGCGAGAGGCACTGCGAAAAAAAATCACTTTCGAGAGAGGCAGGCAAAGAAGGAAAGGTTTGCTCTCCCTGAGGCTGGGGCAGGGTTTGTGCCTTCACCTCTCCCTGCGGTTGCAAACCCAACATCACCGATCAATCAGGGTGTGAGGGGTGTATGTGTGTGTGGGGGGGGGGATGATCATTAACCACCGGATTAGCAAATCTGCCGCTCCTGGCTCACTTGCTGCCTGTAAGTTCTGAATTGCAACCTACCTCTGTGAACACTTTGCTGTGAGCAAGCCCTGGCCAGGGAGGGAAGGAAGCAAATGGCGGGGGCGGGGGAGTCGGCTCGTTCCCGATGCCCCATGCAGGCAAACAAACAAACCCTCACAGATTTGGTTAGCCAGGTGCAAAGTCAATTATATTTAAAAATTATAGCAAGTGTGAGAATCAAAAGGAAACTCTTTGTTTGCCAGATTGCGAGGCAAGATGGGGGGGCATTTATTCTTGGGGGTACAGGGCTACTTAGGAACACCCAGGTCTGGTTTCTAATTCAGTTCGCTCCAATTCATAGCGTGTGTTTGTGCACGCATGTTTAAAATGCATCAAAACTGAAGTCAGGAACTAGCCAGGCTCTAGAGAAGGGGAGGGAAGGAAGAAAGCAGGGGGGAGATGACAGGTGAGTGAATGCACAGAGTGGAGTGCTCCGAAGTGCCTAGCCAGGGCATAGGGTCTAAACTGCCTTGTGTGGCTCCCTTCATGCTGTGTGTGGTGCACAGGCTCACGTGGGTAGCGCAGGGCCTGTAAACCTCCTCACTGTGTGATTAATATTGAGTCTGCGCTTATTTCACCCGCACCTCCTCTCCCCACCCCACCCACACCAGGGGAATAAACATCCTTGGCTTGGTTCCACTAATTTCCAATTGTGTGGCACCCCCATTTAAAATGCTCCCTCCATAACGGGCTCCTGTTCCTCCACCCCTTGCTGTCTCTGATTGCTGTTCCTCCACCCCTTGCTGGGGGATGGGGGAGTGAGTAGTCGACTCGATTAACCGATAAGTTTAGGCTTATCAGGTAGTCGATCGCTTATATCCCTATTTGTGAATCCAGTGATTTTTCTAGGAACCTAGATTTCTTATGAGTCTACCGATTTAATGATAAAATATACACAGCTTGAATGATCTGGAAAAAAGCCTCCTTTACCCTGTTCTTGCCAGACAAGCAGAACTGGTATCTTTCTGTTTTATAATAGTTTCTCTTTGTTCTCTGAGGGCATCGCTGCTCCCTTTGGATATTTTCTGAGAAATATCTGGAAACTGATGTGTACTTACCCCCCCATGAATTGTGTCTACCACTACATGATCGAACCTTCTTTTTCCTGATTCTGAAATAAGCTCTGCTCAGACCGGAATAGGGAGCCAAATACAGTAAACTTCCAATAATCCGGCACCTTTAGGATCCAGGGGGTGCCGGATTATCAGATATGCCTAACTATCAGAAAGGGGGGCTATAAGGGATCTGGGGTGCAGTGGGGGGGATGCCACTCCAGACCCCTCATAGCCCCCCCTTCCGATAGTCCGGCTCTGCCCCAGGCGTCCCTGATTCAGCCGCTGCTGGGGCACCCCAAGAGCAGCCGGGGTGCTGCCGGGTTCGTCCCGCAGCCCCGAGGGGCAGCGCTACGGGACCAACCTGATAGCACGATTCAGCTGCTGGTCAGTTTCAGCAGCAGCTGAA